GGGTGCTAGAATAATGTTGCTTCCTTTGATGTGACAACTGAGCATCCATCTCCCTCCCCCTCAGATGATTTCTTCAGCATGTTAGAGCACTGAGGAATGGTTTTGCTCTCATAACCAAGTAAGAGTGAAGACATTGGCCACATAATAAACATGCTCCATTTTTTAAAAAATTCTGAATCTTGGGCAACTGTTCTCTTGTAACTATTTTACAGTTTCTAAAATCAATTATTATTGAAAGCTAGAAGAACTTAAGTCTTCTCAAATAAACATGTGAATGAATGGAGGGAGGTAAACAAAAAATAAAATTAAAAAAGATGAGGTCTGATACAGGAGCAACTTGATAAGAACATAAAAAAAGGAACAGTAATTTAAAGTTTATTCCAGCTATAATGCAGGTTATTTGACTTTAAGGTAGCATGACATGACATAGTTCTGAGTCCATTCCCAAGATATTCCATTGTACTTATCTCTGCCTGTTTTATAGATCCATGTGATCTCTGGTACTAGGGGTTCATCTGGGTTTGGATCACATAGCAATGAAAAAATGGATGAAAGAACTTTAGAAATAGTTAAAGCAGGAGACCATTGTGATCTTAGACTATCAAGACAAATGCTGCCATTACTGTTAATATTTGGATGATAAACTCTTGTAAATGCAACCTTAGATGGTTTGAAGGTATAATCTATAGGAAAATGAATTGTCAAAAAGAATACACTGCCTTGATATGAGCTATCATTAAGTCCCATAATTGTTGCTTGCCAATGAAACATGCAATCCTCAACTAGACCTGCAGAACATTGTGCTGGTGAGTCATGGGCCAAATCACTAAGTTCCTTATTAATCCGTTTCACTGCCATAGTCTGTGCTTTTTGGCTGGCTCCTCACTGGCTCGGTGTGTACTCAAAGGTCCAGCCAAAACTCTTGATTATCCAGGGCAGCGGGAAAGGATTGTCTCTTCATCTCACACCGGCTCTGACAGACACAGGCGCAGAGAGGCTGGGTCCTCCCTCAAGATGTAACCTTGGCCTCCTCTCCCTGGGGAAGCTGGTACCTCCCCCATAAGGACTCACACTGCGGACATAGCCCTCATAGTTGGTTTTCACTCTTTTTGTTTTGTTTTTGGGGGTTTTTTTTGGTGGAGTCTTTATAGTTTTATATATATAATATTATGTTACCTGAAAATAGAGACAGTCTTAATTTTTCCTTTCCAATTTGGATGATTTTACTTTATTTTATTTTTTTAAAGATTTTATTTATTTGTTTGACAGAGAGAGACAAGTGAGAGAGGGAGCACAAGCAGGGAGAGTGGGAGAGGGAGAAGTAGGCCTCCCGCTGAGCAGGGAGCCTGATGTGGGGCTTGATCCCAGGACCCCAGGATCATGACCTGAGCCAAAGGCAGACGCTTAACGACTGAGCCACCCAGCCACCCACCCCTATTTTGTTTTTTCTTGACAATGCCCTGGGAAGGACTGCCAAGTACTGTATTAAATAAAAGTGGCAAGAATGGGTATCCTTGTCTTACTCCTGATCTTAGAGGGAAAGCTTTCAGTTTTTCGCCTTTGAGTGTCATCTTAGCTGTGGGATTGCAATATATGGCCTTTATTAGGTTGAAGTGTTTTCCCTCAATACCCACTTTGTTGAGAGTTTATATCATAAATGGATGTTGACTTTTATCAGTTGTTTTTTCTTGCATTTATTGAGATGATCATGTAACTTTCATCCCTGATTTTGTTGAGGTGGTATAATTAATACATTGATTGACTTGCAGATGTTGAACCATCACTGGAATAAATCCTACCTGATGATGTGTGATTCTTTTAATACATCCCTTTAATTTATTGTTAAATTCAGCTTGCTAATATTCTGTTGAGGGCTTTAGCATCTATGTTTATCAGGGATATCACCTGTAATTTTCTTTTCTTGTAGTGTTCTTGTCAGGTTTTGGTTTCAGGTTAATGTGGGTCTCATAAAATAAGTTTGAAACTGTTCTCTTTTATTTTTTTTTCAAGAGTTTGAGAAGAATTGGTATTAATTTTTCTTTAAATGTTTGGTAGAATTTGCCAATGAAGCTATCTGGTCCTAGACTTTATTTGTCGAGAGATGTGATTACTGATTCAGTCTGCTTACTGATAATTGGTAAGTTCAGACTTTCTATTTCTTCATGATTCAGTCTTGGTGGGTTGTGTGTTTCCAGGAATTTTCCCATTTCTTTTAGGTTGTTCAAATTTTGGTATATATTTTTTCCTAGTAGTCTCTTATGATCTATCACATTTGTTTGGTATCATTTGTGATGTCTCTTCTTTCATTTCTTAATAAAATTTTCTTTTGGGTCCCTTCTCTTTTTTCTTCATTAGTCTAGTTATATGTTTTCTAATTTGTTTATCTTCTCAAAAAAAAGGCACTTCGTTTCATTGATCTTTTCTGTTGTCTTTTTAGTCTATTTCTGCTCTGATCTTTGTTATTTCCCTCCCTCTACTAATTTGGGTGTAGTTTATTCTTTTTCTAATTTATTGAGGTGTAAAGTTATTTTTTTTAAATATGGGATTTTTCTTTTTAGATGTTTATCCATAGGAACTTCCCTCTAGAATTGCTTTTATGGTATCTTATAAGTTTTCTTATTTTATATTTGTATTTTCATTTGTCTCCAGATATTTTTTGATTTCCTTTTAATTTTTTCTTTGACCTGTTCGTTGTTTAGTACTGTATTATTTAATCTCCACATATTTGTGAATTTTCCAGTTGTCTTCTTTGAATTGATTTCTAGTTTCATAACTATGTAAGGAAAAAATCCAGTATTCTTCCTGTGTTTCTCCTTTACTTGTACACTACTACCATGTTCACAACACTTGTGACACTCTGGCCACCAAATATGCAGGGGTTTTTTTTTTTTTTAACCACATCAAGCAATTCTTTGTGACACCACCTGGGTGTCCTTGAATTTAACTCAGGTCTGACATTAGCTACCTGGAGACAACATCAGATCTCACAGGTTAAGGACTGTTGTCTCATGAGATGCCAATTACAAGTAGTACATCCTCTGGTTACCTATAGCTTCTGTTCAACTTGGATACAAATTGGAAGTTTTCATGGCCTCCTCCCCCTTGGTTTTGATTATTTGCTAAAACAGCTCACAAAATTCAGGGAAACACTAAATTCCATTTATTAGTTTATTAAATGATATGGACAGCCAAATGAAGAGATACATAAGACAAGGTTTAGGAGGTTTTGGAGTGTAGCAGGCTCTATATCAGTGAATTTGGGGTGTATCACCCCCAAATACATGGGTATGTTCTCCGATCTGAAAGCTCTCTGAACCCTGTATTTTTGGGATTTTTATAAAGCTTCCTCACATAGGCATGATCAATATTAACTCCAGTTCTAGCCCTATCCCCTCTCTAAAGAAGTGGGGGTGAGGTTGAAAATTGCAAGATCCAATTATGCTGTGGTTTTTCTGGTTTACCCCCCTTCCCCATCCAGGAGCCCACCTAGAATTACCTCATTAGAATAAAAGATGCTCTTAGTGCTCTTATCACTTAGGAATTTATAAGGGTTTTAGGAGCCCTGTGTCAGGGACTGGGGTCAAAGACCAAATATTAGAACAAAAGATGCTCCTAGTGCATGTATCACTAAGGAATTTATATGTCAGGAACTGGGAGCCGAGCCAATATATGTATTTCTTATTATTTCACAATATAACACTTCTTTTTTTTTTTTTTTAAAGATTTCATCTATTTATTTGAGAGAGAGAGAATGAGAGACAGAGAGCATGAGAGGGAGGAGGGTCAGAGGGAGAAGCAGACTCCCTGCCGAGCAGAGAGCCCAATGCAGGACTCGATCCCGGGACTCCAGGATCATGACCTGAGCCGAAGGCAGCCGCCCAACCAACTGAGCCACCCAGGCGCCCACAATATAACACTTCTGACACTTCTGGCCACCAGATCAGGGAAGTTGCTTGATATGATTTCAATTTTCTTAAATTTATTTAGACATTTTTTGTGACCTCACATATGATGTATTTGAAAAATATCCCAGAGCCAAGCAATCAAGTTTTATGTCTCCTGTGCTCCTGCCACAAAGGCCAGCATGCCAGTCATGTGTACAAGCTCATTTCAGTGAGACAGTGGTGATCTGGAATGGGTGAAAGTGTGAGCATGTAAAGGGCACCCACTGGACTCCAGGGAGGTTTGCAGTTTGTTGCTAGATGTATGCTGAATTTGAAGCCTAGTCCTTGGGCAGCAGCTTTTAAAATACACAACTAGGCCTCTTTCAGGGAAAAACTGGGAGATGGGCATTTCTGTCTCCTGCCTCTGCTGAGCCCCAAGGAGCTAGCCAGGTTAATAAGACCTTACATCCATTATCAAATGCTGAACATGAGAGTGAAAGCAACCAGGTGAATATTCTTAAAGGTCAAGAACAGGAAACAAACTGAGGCTTACTGGAGTGGTGGAGGGTGGGAGGGATGGAGTGGCTGGGTAATAGACATTAGGGAGGGTATGGGCTATGGTGAGCACTATGAATTGTGTAAGTCTATTGAATCACAGAACCGTACCTCTGAAACAAATAATACATTATATGTTAAAAAGAAGAAGAAGATAGCAGGAAGGGGAAAATGAAGGGGGGGGAATCGGAGGGGAGATGAACCATGAGAGACTATGGACTCAGAAACAAACTGAGGGTTCTAGAGCGGAGGTGGGCGGGGGGATAGGTTAGCCTGGTGATGGGTATTAAAGAGGGCATGTACAGAATGGAGCACTGGATGTTATACGCAAACAATGAATCATGGAACACTACATCAAAAACTAATAATGTATGGTGATTAACATAGCATAATAAAATAAAATTTAAAAAAAAGGTCAAGAAAAGGAAAGAGAATTTGGTCATGAAATCAAAGACTTTCAGATAGTTCAATTTTATAATAAGATTCAGGTAGTGGTGTTACATTTCTAATTCCACAAACATTTCACTGAAAAATGAGTAAACTGGTCATGAGTAAAAGGCCATCAACTTCCCATGTCCTTAGGTAAGGAGTGATGCTGAGGCTGGATCCACAGTAAGAGCCAAGGAGAATTAGTGGTCTTCCAAAACAAAATGGATGGGTAAATCATTTTACACAATTCCAACTACCTGTAGTTTCTCTAGCAAGGTACAAAACTACAAAATTCTGCACCAGAATTAAGTTAAAATATTCTGAGTATTTGCACAATCGTAGTGATATTGTGAATAGCCTTCTGTATGTTCTTGTGTCCATGCCCAATGTTTGAAACACAGTTAAGCTCAATAATTTCTGGAGAGGGGTTACTTTTGATTTAGAATAATGATTTTCAATAAATACCCATACAGTTTTATTTTTATTTTATTTATTTTTGCCAGTTTTTCTGTTGGCATGACATATTTCTAACTCTTAGGCAGTAAGTCCCTTAAAAGCAGATTTTGATCTGAGAAGCTAAGTTGTGAAAAGTCATTTTGTCGCAGGAGGAAGGGAATCTTACATCACAACTTCTTTCTGGAATAAACTTGAGGAGTCCCATCTATGAGGCATACCAGCTTGAGGCCCCAGATACAACTACTCCTTTTTTTCCTTCGTCCCTATTTTTGCAAACTTCCGGTAACAAAACAGACAACACCGTGTGGTGACAAATACAGCAGTTGCCACACAGGCCAGCAGGAACCCAATCACATCCAAAGAGTGGTACTGGAACCAGGTGAGGTTGTGGGAGGCTGGCCTGAGGTGTTTTGCTCCTTTGTGGCGCATGACAAACTCGATCCAGAAGACTGCTCTATCCAGGGGCTTTACAGGCTGATCGTGGTGAATTCTTGATAATTTCATAGCATTCTCTTTGTATCTAAAGGAGAAACATAAAGATACTGATATTGAAAGGAAGCTAATTTGCCTAATCATATAATTCCCATGAAAGGTTTTTGAAAAGTGCCATACAAATGATTCAAAATAAATGCCATAGAACTACAGAAGTAGTGTGTTTTTTATTTGGGTCCGCATAGGAGATTGGGCTTTTAAATTGGAATTTTCCCATCAACAAATATTTTAAAAAGTGAAAATGGAAGCTTATTTAGGATAGTTTTATCTTTTCTAACAGAGAAAATGATATGGGCCATTGTAACAGCTAAAAATGAGATGGTGGGAATGCACTTATAGAATGATCCTCATGAAGCAGTAAAGGGAATTATGTCATGGTGAGTAAAATGCCACCTCACTGGTCCCCGTGTCTCCACTCTTCTACCCTCTACTCTTTATTTTCCATCATGTAGACAGTCTGATTTTTGAAACAGATATCAGATCATGACACTTCCCTGCTCAAAATTTCTGTCTGGCTTCTCATTACATTTAGAATAAAATCCAACTATGAATTTTGGACTATATCTTACAGATACAGATGCCTAGCAACCTCTTCTCCTGTCACTTTGTCCCATGTACACTCTGTTGTAGGCACAGAGGTCTGCTAGCAGTTCACTGAAGTTGCCAAACATGTCCTCACCTCAGCACCTTTGCACTTTCTGTCCCCTCTGTCTCTCTGCTGGACACTATTCCCAGCAAAACCCCAAGACTGTTTCTACCTCTTGACCCAGCTTCGTGTTCCATCTCAGAGAGGCTTTTCTGGGCACACTATCAAAGCACCCTTGGACATTTGTTCTGTGTGTGTGTGTGTCTGTGTGTGTGTGTGTGTGTGTTACTATTTGAAACCTAGAATTTGAAAACATGTTATATTTTCCAGAAAAACATTTAAATATATTATATAAGAAAAATGCACATAGTCCTAACTGAATAGCTCATAAATTCAAAATTAGCTAAAATATTCACTTTTAGCTAAATTAGCTAAAATATTATTGTGAAGTGGATGTAATAATATACCTACTACTAAGGTATTTTCTTTTTCTTTCTTGCCTACTTTAAAGGATTTTTATTATTTGATTGTTCTATCATTTTCTTCTCGATAATACATTTTTCAGCATTTCTTTAGATGATACCCTCCTAATATAATATTAATACTATAGTAGTAATAAATACTGAATTCATGGTTGCTGTGCTAGGCACTACAAATTCCCTCACATTGTTTTCCTCTATAATACAGAAAATTTCAATATTTATCTTATCATATTTAAAAAGTTTTATCTTCAATAGGACACAATCAAGAAAGTGAAAAATCAAGCCAGCCAGAATGGAAGAAAATATTAACAAATCATATATCTGATAATGTATTGTATCCATAACACATAACAAATTCTTTAATAAGGTGAGACAAGTAATCAAATTTAAAAATTATCAAAAAATTGGAATAGACATTTCTCTAAAGAGGATATATGAATGGAAATTAGTATATGAAAAGATGCTTAATAACTCTGGCTATGGGGGAAATGCAAATCAAGACCACAAGGAGGGACCACTTCACACCCACTAGGATGTCTGTCATAAAACAGATGATAACAAGTGTTGGTAATGATGTGGAGAATTTGGATCTCACATACTCAGCAGGTGGAAAATGTAAAATGGTGCATGCATCTCATTTGGACATCAATTTGGCAGTTCCTCACAGAGTTAACATATGATCACCAACTCTACTCCTAGATGTCTATCCAAAAGAAATGAAAAATTTTGTTCACACAATAACATATGTAGCAATATTTGTAATTCCTAAATGTGGAAATAACCAAAATATTCATGAACTGATAAATGAATAGATTGTAGCATATCCATACCATAGAATATTATTCAGCAATACAAAACTACCACATGAATGAAACTCAAAAACATGCCAAGTGAAAGAAGCCACATGCAAAAGACCATAAATTGTATGATTCCATTTGTATGAAATATCCAGAATACAGCAATTTGTAAAGATAGAAAGTAGATTGTTTACTTAAGGCAAGAGGAATGAGAAATGACTTCTAAGTCATATGTGATTCCTTTTTGGGCAAATGAAAATGTCCCAAACTTAGATTATAGTGATGGTTTCATAATTCCATAACATTTTTATACTTTAAGTTTTATGGTACATAAATTACATATTATAAAATATATTAAAATAAGAATAAAAATTAATTTTTGGGCAAAAAGATTTTTAGTTTTAGAAATCTTTGGTACTGAATTGAAAGTTATTTTACATAACTGCAAATTCTTCATTCTTTCATTTTATGGATTCTATTATATCTTTAAAAATGTTTTCTTACAATTACCTATATGACTTTTGCATTTGTTCATGTGGAAAATTGTTGCAGCAATTGGTTACCCATTAAATCAATGGGGTTAAAATGCAACTTTGAAATAAATGTCTGGTTGAAAATAAAAGTAGATTTAAGATCAGTTAAATCATATTAAAATTTCAAAATTAGCCTCTTAAATATAGGATGAAACTCATGGTCACCATTGACAGAACTGAAAAAAATTATAATACTCACGAAGCATCATCAATGACCATCCTCAATGCATTGAGCAAATCTGTACTAGACAGTGTGTGGAAATCCAGACTGACAGCTGCTCCCTTGGCCTTCATGTGAGCAATGTTATCAGGTTGATCCGCAAACAAAGGAATGCCCACCATGGGGATCCCGTGGTGGATCGCCTCATAGATGCCATTGGCTCCACCATGAGTTACAAAGGCTTTGGTTTTTGGATGACCTAGGATTGGATGAATCTCAGCACATTATTAATTATAAGTCTTAGAAATAAAATGAGAGTTGGGCAACATAAGGCATATAGTATTATACATATGAAACAGCATTAAAATGTCTTTCAGTTCTCAGAGCAAGAAGCACATAAATCTGCTGGAGAGGTAAATGAAGATTGGTGTGGTGCTTGTAATTTGAAAAATGAATACAAGATGGCTGGACAGACAAATTTAAAGGGAACATTCTGGATAAAGAATAGCATGTGCAAAAAAAAAAAAAAAGACAAGGAGGTGGCATATTAGAACATATTCTCTTAAACAGTAAAGTCACTGAGTTTAACATGTAGGGTGTCAAGGTAGCAGGAAGTGTGATAGTGGTGGTTCAAATCAGGGAAAGACTGCACTTTATCATGAAATGTGTTGTGACTTCATGGAAATTATTATGGTGTTTTCCTAGAGAACATGTAGGGTCACTGATAATTAAAGAGGGGCTTTTATTTTTCAGTGACACTGAATACCCATGCAGAATGAGAAAGGATAGGAATAAGGTGGGAGAATTAGGAGACAGAGTGATGATCCAGGTAGTTATTAAGAAATTATTGGGGGAGGCAAAATGGTGGGAGTAGGGAACCTCATTTCATCTTGTTCCTGAATTTAGCTAGAAAACTATCAAATTATTCTGAACACCTATGAATTCAACCTGAGATACAAGAAAAGAATTGCTGGAATTCTACAAATAGAAAAGTGACCACTTTTTGCAAGGTAGGAGGTGCAGAAAAATGAATCTGAGGGTATATTTGGAAAATAAATGGAGGGGGGAGGGAGCCTCCATAAGCTGGCTACCAAAAATTGATATAGCCCCAGAGTGCAAACACAGACCCTTTTGAAGTCTGCTCCAGGGAGAGACACTCCTGCCTGAAAGGTACTCAGGTGGTGAGGTGGGGCAGAATCCTAGGTGAGACAGTGTGGTCTCAGGATCCCTGGGGTCACAGAAAGAATGGGGTGCCTGAGCTGGCAGAATTCCCAAGCATTAGAGCAGAGAAACCAGTTATGTTCAGTGAGACAGGAGGGGGCTCTCAGCTCAGTTCGCCATGAACCCCAAACTGCAGCATGATCGGGTGACTGCTCTCTGTGTGGGGGCCCTCCAAAGGGCATAAACGTGGTGACTCTCCACCTTCCCCCAGAAGGGGTGGTGCAGGAGGGTGCAGGACTGGGCAACTGCTCTGTGTGTGTGTGTGTGTGGGGGGGGTGTCCTGAAAAGGGCAGAAATGTGGTGACCCACCTTCCCCTGGGAGGATCAGTGTGGGCATGCACTGCAAGAGTCTAGAGTTTGGCAGACACAGAAGTGAAGACTGCTTATCCTGAAGGTTTACAGAAGAGAGGGGACTGCAATCTTTCAGCTTCAGGGCTGGAAATTGGGGTGCAGCCATTTTTATTTTCATCCTCTAAAGAGGCACAGAGGGCTTTCAGGGAACAAAAGCCACATAGAGCAATCAGAATCAGCTTACACTGAGCCCAGGCCCCTAGCAAGGGGTGGTGCAAGTCTGCCCAGGCAAAGACACCTGATAATCAGCACAGCTGGTCCCTCCCCCAGAAGACCAGCTGAAACAAGAAAACACCCAGTTTGTGGAGCACACAGGACTGCAAAACTCCAACACTATGGGAAAATAGTATATAGAAATTGAGGTTTTTTTTCTCAAGATTCATTTATCTTTCAGTTTAAAATTTTCCTTTTCTTTTTTTCCTTTTCAACTGGTTTCTTATTTATTTTTTAAAGATTTTATTTATTTGAGAGAGAGAGAGAGAACAAGCAGTGGGGAGGAGCAGAGGGAGAGAGAGAAGCAGACTCCCTGCTGAGGAGGGGGCCAAATGTGGGACTTGATCCCAGAACCTGGAGATCATGACCTGAGTTGAAGGCAGTTGCTTAACTGACTGAGCCAGAGAGGCATCTCAGCTGGTTTCTTATTTTATCAACTCTTTGTTTTTAAGTATTTTTTTAACTTTCATTTTTAAATTTACACTTTATAGATCTATTCTTCATTTTTGGCTTTCTTTCACTATTTCAATTTTATTTTTGTATATATATATAAGTTCTACTTTCTTTACAATTTTAGGATTTAGTGTCTTCTAATAAGCAGACCAAAATACATCCAGGACCAAGTGGATCACTGTGTTTTGTCCACCTGGGAGATTATAATCTCTCTTTTGCCCCCTTTTTTCTGTTTCTTTTTTCATTTCTGACCTCTTTGGATTTGTCTGGTGTGTTTCATTTGGGTCATGGTCGATAGTTTTTATTTTGTTCTCTCATTCATCCATTCTTCTCTGGGTAAAATGACTAGAAGGAGGAAGTCACAACAAAAGAAAGAACCAGAGGTAATCCTCTCTGTCACAGATGTAATCAATATGGACATAGGTAAAATGTCAGAGCTGGAATTCAGGATAATGGTTATAAAGTTACTAAGTGGGCTTGAAAAAAGCATAAAACACTAGAGAATCTCTTAGTGCAAAAATAAAATCTAATCATGCTGAAATTAAAAATGCTTTAACTGAGATGCAGTCTAAAATGGATGCTCTTACAGCTAAGGTAAATGAGGCAGAAGAGTCAGTAACATAGAAGACAAGATGATGGAAAGGAAGGAAGCTGGAGAAAAGCAAGAAAAACAACTAATGGACCATGAGGGGAGGCTTCAAGAAATCTGTGATACCATAAAGTGAAACAATATTAGAATTATTGGGGTCCCAGAGGAAGAGAAAGAGAAGGCCATGAGGTATATTTGAGCAAATCATAGCTGAGAACTTCCCTAATCTGGGGAAGGAAACAGGCATTCAAGTCCAGGAGGCACACAGAACCCCCCTCAAAATCAATAAAAATAGGTCAATTCTTCGACATACAACAATGAAACTTGCAAATCTCAGAGACAAAGAGAAAATCCTAAAAGCAGCTTGGGACAAGAGGTCCATAATCTACAAGGGTAGAAATATTAGACTTGCAGCAGTCCTATTCACAGAGACCTGGCAAGCCAGAAAGGACTGGCATGATATATTCAGGATGCTAAATGAGAAAAATATGCAGCCAAGAATATTTTATCCAGCAAGGCTGTCATTGAAAATAGAAGGAGAAATAAAAAGCTTCCAGGACAAACAGAAACTAAAAGAATTTCTGATCACTACACCAGCCCTGCAAGTAATATTAAAGGGGATCTTTTAAATGAAGAGAGAGTCCAAAAGTAACATAGATCAGAAAGGAACAGAGACAGTCCACAGAAACAGTGACTTCACAGGTAATACAATAGCACTAAACTCATAACTTTCAGTAGTTATTCTGAATGTAAATGGGCTAAATGCCCCAATTGAAAGACACAAGGTATCAGATTGCATAAAAAAGCAAGACCCATTAATATGCTGTCTGCAAGAGACATATTTTAGACCCAAAGACACTTCCAGATTGGAAGTGAGGGGGTGGAAAACCATTTATCATGATAATGGACATCAAAAGAAAGCTAGGGTGGCAATCCTTACATTAGACAAATTAGATTTTAAACCAAGGACTGTAGGAAGGGATGAAGAGGGACACTATATCATACTTAAAGGGTCTATCCAACAAGAAGATCTAACAATTATAAATATTTATGCTCCTAACTTGGGAGCAGCCATTTATATAAATAAATTAATAACCAAATTAAAGAAACACATTGATAATAATACAGTAATAGTAGGGGACTTCAATACCCCATTCACTGCAATGGACATGTAAGCAGAAGATCAACAAGGAAACAAGGGCTTTGAAAGACACACTGGACCAGATGGACTCCACAGATATATACAAAGCATTCCATCCTAAAAGAACAGAAAACACATTCTTCTCAAGTGCACATGGAACTTTCTCCAAAATAGATCACATACTGGGTCACAAATCAGGTTTCAACACATACCTAAAGATTAAGATTATCCCTTGCATATTTTCAGACCATGATTCTTTGAACTTGAACTCATTTACAAGAGGATATTTGGAAGGAATTCAAACACTTGGAGGTAAAAGAGCATCCTACTAAAGAATGAATGGGTCAACCAGGAAATTAAAGAAGAATTAAAACATTTCAGGGAAACAAATGAAAATGAAAACACAACTGTTCAAAACCTTTGGGATGCAGCAGAGGCCGTCCTAAGAGGGAAGTATATAGCAATGCAAGCCTTTATCAAAAAAATTAGAAAAGTCTCAAATACACAAGCTAACCTTACACCTAAAGGAGCTGGAGAAAGGACAGCAAATAAAGCTTAAACCAAGTAGGAGGAGAAAAATAATAAAGATCAGAGCACAAATCAATGAAATAGAAACCAAAAGAAGAGTAAAACAGATCAATGAAACTAGAAGCTTGTTCTTTCAAAGAATTAATTAGATCAATAAACCCCTAGCCAGACTTATACAAAAGAAAAGAGAAAGGACCCAAATTAATAAAATCATGAATGAAAGAGGAGATATCATGACCAACACCAAGGAAATACAAATAATTTTAAGAACATATTATGAGCAAATATATGCCAAAAAATTAGACAATCTGGAAGAAATGGATGCATTCCTGGGAACTTATAAACTACCAAAACTGAAACAGGAAGAAATAGAAAACCTGAACAGACCCATAACCAGGAAAGAAATTGAAGTAGTAATGAAAAATCTCCCAACAAACAAGAGTCCAGGGCCAGATGGCTTCCTAGGGGAATTCTACCAAACATTTAAAGAAGAACTAATACCTATTCTTCTGAAGCTGTTTCAAAAAATAGAAATGGAAGGAAAATTTCCAAACTTGTTCCATGAGGCCAGCATTACCTTTATCCCCAAACCAGACAAAGACCCCAACCAAAAAGGAGAATTACAGACCAATATCCCTGATGAACATGGATGCCAAAATTCTCACCAAGACTAGCCAATAGGATCCAACAGTACATTAAAAGGATTATTCACCATGACCAAGTGGGATTTATTCCTGGGCTGCAAGGGTGGTTCAACATTCACAAATCAATCAATGTAATACATCACATTAATAAAAGAAAGGAGAAGAACCATATGTGATCCTCTCAAGTGATAAAGAAAAAGCATTTGACAAAAATACAGTATATTTCTTGATTAAAACTCTCCACAGTGTAGGGATAGAGGGAACATACCTCAATATCATAAAAGCCACCTATGAAAAGCCTACAGAGAATATCATTCTCAATGGGGGAAAAACCAAGAGCTTTTCCTCTAAGGTCAGGAATACGACAAGGATGCCCACTCTCACCATTTTTGTTCAACATAGTACTAGAAGTCCTACCCTCAGCAATCAGACAACAAAAAGAAATAAAAACGCATTCAAATTGGCAAAGAAGAAGTCGAACTCTCGCTCTTCACAGATGACATGATACTTTATGTGGAAAACCCAAAACACTCTGCCCCAAAATTGCTAGAACTCATACAGGAATTCAGCAACATGGCAGGATATAAAATCAATGCACAGAAATCAGTTGCATTTCTATACACTAACAATGAGATAGAAGAAAGAGAAATTAAGGAGTTGATCCTATTTACAATTGCACTCAAACCATAAGATACCTAGGAATAAACTTAACTAAAGAAATAAAGGATCTGGGGGCGCCTGGGTGGCTCAGTCGTTAAGCGTCTGCCTTCGACTCAGGTCATGATCCCAGGGTCCTGGGATCGAGCCCCGCATCAGGCTCCCCTCTCAGCGGGAAGCCTGCTTCTCCCTCTCCCACTCCCCCCTGCTTGTGTTCCCTCTCTTGCTGTGTCTCTCTCTGTCAAATAAATAAAATCTTTAAAAAAAGAAAAAAAGAAAGAAAGAAAGGATCTGTACTCTAAAAATTACAGAAGACTTATGAAAGAAATTGAGGAAGACACAAAGAAATGAAAAAATATTCCATGCTCATGGATTGGAAGAATAAATATTGTTAAAATGTCTATGCTACCCAGAGCAATCTACATTTTCAATGAAATCCCTATCAAAATACCATCAACATTTTTCACAGAGCTGGAACAAATAATCCTAAAATTTGTATGGATCCAGAAAAGACCCTGAATAGCCAAAGGAATGTTGAAAAAGAAAACCAAAGTTGGTGGCATCACAATTCTGGACTTCAAGCTATATTACAAAGCTGTAATTATCAAGGGAGTGTGTAGGGATAGAGGGAATATACCTCAATATCATAAAAGCGCAAAAACAGATACATAGGTCAATGGAACAGAATAGAGAGCCCAGAAATGGCCCCTCAACTCTATGGTCAACTAATCTTCAACAAAGCAGGAAAGAATACCCAATGGAAAAAGGACAGTCTCTTCAATAAATGGTGCTGGGAAAATTGGACAGCCACATGTTGAAGAATGAAGCTAGATTATTTTCTTACATCATGCACAAAGATAAACTCAAAATGGATGAAAGACCTAAATGTGAGACAGGAATCCATCAAAATTCTAGAGGAGAATACAAGCAGCAACCTCTTCAACCTTGGTCACAGCAACTTCTTGCTAGACCTGTCTCCAAAGGCAAGTGAAACAAAGCAAAAATGAACTATTGGGACTTCATCAAGATAAAAAGGTTCTGCACAGCAAAGGAAATAGTCAATAAAACTAAAAGGCAACCTATGGAATAAGAGAAGAAATTTGCAAATGACTGTTTGCAAACCCTCTTACACTGTTGGTGAGAATTCAAGCTGGTGCAGCCACTCTGGAAAATAGTATGGAGGTTCCTCAAGAAGTTAAAAATAGAGCTTCGGGGCGCCTGGGTGGCTCAGTTGGTTAAGCGACTGCCTTCGGCTCAGGTCATGATCCCGGAGTCCCGGGATCGAGTCCCGCATCGGGCTCCCTGCTCAGCAGGGAGCCTGCTTCTCCCTCTGACCCTCCCCCCTCTCATGTGCTCTCTGTCTCTCTCATTCTCTCTGTCTCAAATAAATAAATAAAATCTTTAAAAAAAAAAAAAATAGAGCTTCCCTATGACCCAGCAATTGCACTACTAGGTATTTACCCCAAAGATACAAATGTATTGATCTGAAGGAGCACCCGCACCTCAGTGTTTATAGTAGCAATATCCACAGTAGCCAAACTGTGGAAAGAGCTGAGATATCCATGGACAGAGGAATGGATAAAGAAGGTGTGGTATATATATATACAATGGAATATTACTCAGCCATCAGAAAGGATGCATACTTGCCATTTACAATGACATGGATGGAACTGGAGGGTATTATGCTGAATGAAATAAGTCAACCAGAGAAAGACAATTATCTTATGGTTCCACTCATATGGCAAATATAAGAAACAGCACAGAGGATCATAAGGAAAGGGAGGAAAAACGGAATGGAAAAAAATCAGAGAGGGAGAAAAAACATGAAAGACTCTTAAATATAGGAAACAAACTGAAGGTTGCTGGAGGGGCGGTGTGTGGGAGGATGGGGTAACTGGGTGATGGGCATTAAGGAGGGCACATGATGTGATGAGCACTGGGTGTTATATGCAACTGATAAATTATTGAACATTACATCCAAAACTAATGATGTACTATATTGGCTATTTGAATTTAAATTAAAAAATAAAAAAATTACCTTTGAGAAGTAATTACACCTGAAATAAAGATACTTTGACTCTGGCCATAAGGAATGTGACTGTATATAATAACATGCTGTATCTTATCTTTTCCCCCCTAGGACTGCAAAATAAATGTAAGGAAGTTAAGTTTGGTTTTTGAGTTTTTCAATAATAAATGTTCAATCAATTTCCTTCTTGGAAACTCTTATCATTTTGTTTAGAGTTACTTTCAATTCAGTGTTTTCCAGATTCTTACCAAGAAGGTCATTCTGGGGGATCCACTTATATAGCCGAGTATTTGGCCCTAAGGTGTCTGGTTTCTTGCCATCAAATCTCCATAGAACCTGTTAAGAAAATACCTTATTTCATGAGTTGAACTTTGAAGTTATAGCATGTAGGAATTTTAAAGAAATTAAGAGATAATCTAGTTAGACCCCTTTCATTGACTGGTAAGTAATAAGGACAAAAGATATTAAAAGTAAGACTACTAAAACACTGGTATAATAAAATACCCACATTTTTGTTCCTTATTTTTATATTCAATCAAGTATGATTGTAATCATGATGGTTCACACATAGAGATTAGACAAATGAGATTATCAGTGACAAATACAAGTATTTAAAACATTTTTAAGCAGTTATTATAATTCTAGTGCAAACAAGTAGGAAATTACTAAGATCTACACATTTGTTTTATCTATTATAATTGCTTTCATCTTCCGATGTCATATTAACCTATTTATTCCTTTTTAAGTGTTACAGAAGTTCACTTGTATCTACTTGTTCCATACATTATTTTATTAGAGTTTTATGTCTTTTGATATACAAAAAAGCTAAGTATGCAATCTGCTGCTTGTGAGAAATAATTCTGCTTATTAGTAATTTATTAATATAAATAATTTCTACTTAGTACATTTAATTTATTTTACATTACTAATTATTAGGCACTACTTCCAAGAAAAATGTAATTTTTTACATGAATCCAGGTTATTATTACTATTTCTTGGTTTGGAAGTTTTTTAAATGTTACAAAGAAGAGCCTGTTGGCACTTCAGAAATAACAGTGTAGCTGCTGAAAAAAAATCCAAAACTGTGATGATGCTAAATTTTATTTAACTGATTGTTAACACTTCAGTGATGCACTACAAAGCATTGACAGCTTTGATTAATATGAGGTCTATACCCAAGCAATTTCCATTCTCAGTACCAAAATAGATTGATTTTAGAATTCCCCAGCAATCCTCATAAACTGGATTATAGTTTTCATTGGTTAACATATATTTGCTATGTTTCAAGTAACTTTAGATATTAAGTGAACATTAGCATAAAGAGAAACTATATCAGTAAACTAAAAAGTAGTTCACAAATACCCAAATACTCCAGGTTTTTTTCTATATATTGGAAAGCAATTTACTACTATATTTTATGTAGAAAGAGGCATCTGAAACTTTCCCTTGCTAGGCTTGTTTCTGGTTGACTCCTTAATATATTTACATTTCCTTCCTTAATCAGGAGGAGTTAGTATTCTGATAAGTTAAAGTCCTTTTGGAACCACGTATTAGTAAGCACAGGGTCACCTTGAGGGGTAGACCCATCTCCCCCTTTTTCATTTATCTTACTCTTTTAATAGGGCCCACTCCACCAGTCATGTCAGTTTTTCTCTTTCTCTAAATAATCTAGGCTGGATGAATGCCTAGACATAGCTTGGTGAACCCTGGCCATCCTCTCTCTGAACAGCATACTGAATAGGCTTATCTCAAAAATTTAGGGGAAGGAAAAGAAACCTGGATTATCCAGCAAGCATAAACTGCATGATGCTTTTCAGACTTTTATCAGTTCCTGCTTAACATAACTATTGAAATTTAACTCCTTTCTGAGAACATCTATGAGGTATTCAGTGCCCTTGGAAATCCTGTAAGGAAAAGGAGTGAATGACAGGACAGAATTTGGTGATTTCTGTATCTGCCCATGATACATTATAATAGCAAACTTTACGCTGTACCTCCTAAGTATATACCTCCTAAATATATTTCTTTCTGATCTCAATGTTAATACCAAAGTTATTGTCAAAACACCTTCCGTACTACTTTAGCATCTGCTGTGACAGGCGGGGATACTCACCACTATACTAATGAGGATAGCATCTGCTGTGTATATTTTGCTCATATCTGAGATAAATTGGAGCTATCATCATGGTTTCCATGTCATGAAGGAAAGGGTAATCAAACCCTTTACACAGTTTAACAGACTTATTAAGTAGTTGTATATGATTAAGTTACTTTATCTAACCTTTTGTGGAATCTGGGCAAGGGCTGATGCAATCACATTGGCTCTTTCCTCTGACATGTTATTGACCATTGACCCTAGACTAAACACCACAATACCGTTTTCTCCAGAGCTCTGGACAAACTCTTCCATTTCCTGTGAAGAAAGAATTTGCTCCATCACAAAAGAGGAACAGCATAGCAAACACTATTAAAAGAATTTCTACAGGGGCGCCTGGGTGGCTCAGTCAGTTAAGTATCTGACTCTTGATTTCATCTCAGGTCATGATCTCAGGGTTCTGAAATTGAGCCCCGAGTCTGGCTCTACACTCAATGGGGAATCTGCTGGGTATTCTCTCTCTCCCTCTGCTCCACTCCCCCCAACGCCCCTACTCTATCTCAAATAAATAAATCGTTTTTAAAAAAGAGAATTTCTACAAACAGCTAAAGAGAGATACCAAATATTATCAGGAGTTATTAGAGTAATGGCTGTTTTTATCTTTAAATTGTGATAAAATACACACAAAAATTGCCATTTTAACTATTCCTGGGTATGCAGTTCAATAATGGGTATATTTACACTGTTGGGTAACCAATCACTGGAACTTTTTCATCTTGCTAAACTGGAACTCTGTACCCATTATATAACAATTCCCCATTCCCTCCTTTACATCTTTAGCAGCCATCATTATACTTTGTATTTCTATGAATTTGACTAATCTGCATACCTCATATCAGTGGAATCATACAGTATTTGTCTTTCTGTGATTACCCCTTTCACTTTGCATAATGTCCTAAGGTTTTCCACGTTGGAGTATGTGTTAGAATTTTCTTCTATTTTATGACTAATATTCCATTGTGTGTAAATACATTTTGTTTATGGATTTATCTGTTGATGGACACTGTATTAGACTGAATAGAACTTTTGCTAGTTTTACCTCAGGATTTAGACCTTGAGAAATTTACCATATACACCTAAACATTTTGTAATCAAAATTGATATTAGGTTAACCACCAAATAAGATCTTAGTTTTATCTTATTACCAATAAGAAGGTAGACAAACAAGATGTTGAAGAGACCATAAAATCATTCAGTAAGGGATACTTGTTTTTCAATTTTGTCTTAAAGTTACAATATCAACTTAAAACATATTACATTATTGCTTTCTTTCAAAAAAAAAAAAAGAAAGCATACAGAACTCTTTTGTAATTTTATATTGTGAATGTTTTTCAGATATAAGTGGTAGAAATTATTTGGTCCTTATTAAATATGCAGAATTTATGGTCCTTATTATATACACAGTGTAGTTTTCTCTGCACTCATTTTGTCAGCTATAATGTTGAGAACCATGTTCCCCCGATCTTTACTAAGATTTTGTCCAGTCTTGGTGTGTGGCAGAAAACACATGTTCTCATAGGCTAAGCAAACCCTTTAATGCTCTAAGTTGTCAAACCTTGGGATCTCAAATGAATTGTGTAAATGTTGGAGTGACAGCAAGTAAACATTGGATTTGCCTGCAGATATTGTTGGGGACACACAAACATTGTTGAGAAATGGTGTTTTTAAGCTAGAATACTGGTGAAATGCCTCAGAGAAAATAAAACAAAAGAAACAGGAATCAGTTACCTTAGGCAGGGGTTTGGCAGGTTTGCAGTGGAGTCCTCCAACAAATTCAAAATTTGGTAGGAGTGGGCGAGGAAATTCAAAATCCCAGTAGGTTCGAATGAGCCATATTTGAGCCTTTCCCATTAACTCAAATAATGTAGTGGGTCTTCCTGAAGGGAAAAAAACCAAACATCACATCAATAAGAGAAGGGATAAAAACCATATGATCATTTCCATGTATGCAGAAAAAGCATTTGACAAAGTACACATCCATTCATGATAAAAACTCTCAACAAAGTTGGTTTAGAGTGAACATACTTCAACAAAATAAAGGCCTTATATGGAAAACCCACAGTGAATATCATACTCAATGGGGAACAACAGAGAGCTTTTCTCCTAAGGTCAGGAACAAGACAAGGATGTCCACTCTTACCACTTTTATTCAACATAGTACTAGAAGTCCTGGCTACAGCTGTCAGAGGACAAAAAGAAATAAAAGTTATCCAAAAGCAAAACTTTCACTATTTGCAGATGACATGACTTACCAAAAAACTACTAGAACTGTTAAATTAATTCAGTAAAGTCACAGGATGCAAAATCAGTATACAGAAATCTGTTACATTTCTATATACTAATAATGAAGCAGAAGAAAGAGAAATTAAGAAAATAATCCCATTTGTAATTGCACCAAAAATAATAAAGTACCTAGGAATAAGGATATAAGAGGATATAAGGAAACGGAAAGGCATTCTGTGCACATGAATTAGAAGAACAAATATTGAACTGTATATACTACCCAAAGCAATCTACATATTTAATGCAATCCCTATCAAAACACCAACAGCATTTTTCACAGAACTGGAACAAACTATCCTAAAATTTGTATAGAACCACAAAAGACTCCAAATAGCTAAAGCAATCTTGAAAAAGAAAAAAATGGGAGCTATCACAATTCCAGACTTCAAGTTATACTACAAAGCTGTAATCAAGATAGTATGGTACTGGCACAAAAACAGACACATAGATCAATGGAACAGCATAGAAAACCCAGTTATATGGTCAATTAATCTTTGACAAAGAGGAAAGAATATCCAATGGGAAAAAAGATAGTCTCTTCAACAAATTGTGTTGGGAAAATTGGGCAGCTACATGCAAAGGTATGAAACTGGACCACTTTCTTATACCATACACAAAAATAAATTCAAAATGGATTAAAAAACTAAATGTGAAACCTGAAACTATAAAAATCCTAGAAGAGAGTACAGGCAATAATGTCTCTGACATCAGCCATAGGAACATTTTTCTAGATATGTCTTCTGAGGCAAGGGAAATAAAAGCAAAAATAAACTATTGGGACTACATCAAAGTTAAAAAAAAAAAACAAACACCTCTGTATAATGAAGGAAACAATAAAACTAAAAGGCAACATACTGAATGGGAGAAGATATTTGCAAATGACATTTGAGAAAGGGTTAGTACCCAAAATATATACAGAACTTATAGGGTGCCTGGGTGGCTCAGCCGTTAAGTGTCTGCCTTCGGCTCAGGTCATGATCCCAGGGTCCTGGGATCGAGCCCCTCATTGGGCTCCCTGCTTGGCAGGAAGTCTGCTTCTCCCTCTCCCACTCTCCCTGTTTGTGTTCCCTCTCTCGCTGTGTCTCTGTCTGTCAAATAAATAAATAAAATCTTAAAAAAAAAGAACTTATACAACTCAATACCCCAAAACCAAATAATCCAATTTTAAAAAGGACAGAAGACATGAACAGACATTTCTCCAAAGAAGGCATACAGATGGCCAATAGACACATGAAAAGATGCTCCACATCCCTCATCATCAGGGAAATGCAAATCAAAACTACAGTGAGATACCACCTCACATCTTTCAGAATGGCTAAAATCAAAGCCACAAGAAACAAGTGTGGAGGTTTCTCAAAAAGTTAAAAATAGATGTACCCTATGATTCAACAATTGCACTACTAGGTATTTACCCAAAGAATACAAAAATACTCATTCAAAGGGATACATGTACCCCAATGTTTATAGCAGCATTATCTACAATAGCCAAATTATGGAAACAGCCTAAGTGTCCACCAACTGATGAATGGCTAAAGAAGTGGTATATTTATACAATGAATATTACTCAGCCATAAAGAAGAATGAAATCTTGGGGCACTTGGCTGGCTCAGTTGGTTAAGCATCCGACTCTTGGTTTTGGCTCAGGTCATGATCTAGTGTTCGTGGGATGGAGCCCCAAGTGGGGCTATGTGGTCAGTGTGGAGTATGCTTCAGATTCTCTCTCCCTCTCTCTCCCACTCACTTTCTCTCTCTCTCTCTGAAATAAAGAAAATCTTTTTTAAAAAATGAAATCTTGCAATTTGCAATGACACAGACGGAGCTAGAGAGTATTATACTAAGTAAAATAAGTCAGTCAGAGAAAGACAAATACCATATGATTTCACTCATATGTGGAATTTAAGAAACCAGATAAACAGACAAAAAGACAAACCAAGAAATAGACTCTGAACTGTAGAAAACAAACTGAGGGTTACTGGAGGGGCAGTGGGTGGGGGGATGGATTAAATAGGTGATGGGGATTAAGGAGGACACTTGTGATGAGCACAGGGTGATGTCCAGAATTGTTGAATCACTATATTGTACACCTGAAACTAATATAACACTCTCTGTTAACTATACTGGAATTAAAATTAAAACTTAATAGAAAAATAAAAGTAAATAAATAAATAAGTAAAAAAAACCCCACAACAAGCAACAGGTAGAGGAAATAAGAGTAATGTAATGTGAATATACTAGGGAATTTTCTGAAAAGAGTTTGGAATAATTTAGTCAAAAATGTTCAAAAATATTTGTAGTTTGATAATAGAGCACATATATGATACAAACATGTATAATGATGCAAATATATATTTACACATTTATATGTTGTTCATATGTATATTTGAAAGACAAAGCGTAAGACTCATTTCTAACATCACAATAGTACATTCACAATCATAAACAATTATTAAACCTAAGCTACTATCAAATTAAACATGCATTTGTTTACTTTAAAATGCTGCAGAAGTAGCAGATGCAAATGTAAACAATTATTTGAGCTCCCCAATCAATTAACCAATGGAAACACATTTCCCTAGGGTACTCAGTCTCATTTCTATAATTTAGCAAGTTATTCCCTTGATCCTAGATTTTCCAAGAAAACTGTGAGGTTTTGAAGGTATGGTTTGATTCCTTGTACTTACCATTGCACTTGGTTCACATTAGGAGCTTAATAATATTTGTATATTAAATGATATTTGCAAATAACAGCTGGAATATTTTCATCAAGTATGGAAATAGGTATGTGCACTCTTAATTTTGGCTCACTTTTTCTTTAACGGAGTAACAGTTTTTAAAAAATGTGAACTATTAATGTGTATGTGCAACTTTCAACAAGATTTTAGGCCTTTAAAACATGATTTATAAGCCCTGGTGAAAGAATTTGTAATCATTAGAAACTTCTTATTATAGGTTCCTGAGTCTGGGGTAGAGCCACCACTTAGTCCAGTTATGAAGGACTCTTTCAGGTAATATGACAAAACACTTTAATTTTTAAATTAAAGGGAAACAAGTGGAAATAATATCCTCAATACTTTATAGACAGTTATACTAGAAATATGTGACTCCTCAATTAATATGTCTGCTTTCATCAAGATAGTGAAATTTCTAATGTCTTTTTTAAAAAAGATTTTATTTATCTATTTGACAGAGAGAGAGAGAGAGCACAAGCAGGGGAAGTGGCAGGCAGATCAAGAGGGAGAGGCAGGCTTCCTGCTGAACAGAGAGCCTGACGTGGGCCTCAATCCTAGGACTCTGGGATCATGACCTAAGCTGAAGGCAGATGCTTAACCAACTGAGCCACCCAGGGACCCCTCTAATGCCTTTTTTAAAAAATGGAAAAAGTAAAGTAAAATGGATATGTAGGAAATAGGCACAGCAGAGAGGATTTTTAAGGCAGTGAAACTACTCTGATACAATAGTGATGTATACATATCATTAAAAATTTGTTAAAACCTTTTTTTTTTTTTTTGAAGATTTTATTTATTTGACAGAGAGAGACACAGTGAGAGAGGGAACATAAGCAAGAGGAGTGGGAGAGGGAGAAGCAGGCTTCCCACGGAGCAGGGAGCCCGATGCGGGGCTCGATCCCAGGACCCTGAGATCATGACCTGAGCCGAAGGCAGACGCTTAACGGCTGAGCCACCCAGGCATCCCCCCAAAATTTGTTAAAACCTATAGAATGTACAACACCAAGAGTGAACTCTAATGTAAACTATGGACTTTGGATGATAATATGTGTCAATGTAGGTTCATCAGTTGTAACAAATGTACCACTCTGGTGGGGAATGTTTTATGCATGTGTGGGGGCAAGGGTTAAATGGGAAATCTTGACTCAATATGCTGTGACTTAAAATTATTCTAAAAAGTAAAGCATATCAGAAGTAATACTTTCACCCTGTATTTAATAAATAACAAAGAAAGGTTAAAACACTTTATCCAGAAAAAAGTAAAAAAAAATTTTTTAAGTATTACAAACAAACACACAAAGAATAGGTATCTAATTGCTTCAAGAAATCCTTAGTGTTTTAATTTGTGGTTATTGACTTCCTGGAGTGTAATGTACTAAATAATGGACCACAGGGTTCTAACTGGCCCTGTCATATAAGTCTTTCCATAACATTTGTGAGGTTGAGAGATCATTTTATATTTTCATTTCATCATTGCACTTATAAAGGACAAATTTCTCTGATTTTATATTTATACAAACTCACCTTCCCTGGCACTAAGAATTAAAACTTCATGCTACCAATTAAAAACATGACTTACCTAGTACTTCGCTGTAAAACTGATCCCAACTCTTCTCACTAAATGATCGGAAACAAAAGTCAAAATAAAGCATATATATCATATTTTTTACTCTCTCCATGAATGTCATTTGACCACTTAATTCTGACATAATCATAGGCACGTAGGACGGAGGTAAAGGAAGTCCTCCACTATACTTTTCAACTCTATAGCCAGGAGAGAAGCGGAGACTGTACACTAAAGGTATTTTAAGTAGCTCAGCCAGCAGTTCACCACAGGGTCCAATGGCATCTGCAAGAATGACGTCAAACTTCGATTCTTGTAGTTTTGTCATGAGTTTCCTGTTCAAAACTATATCTTTACAGAACTTTTGAATACAGTCAGAATATTCCCACAAGATTTCTTGCAGTTGTGAAAAATATCCCCAAAATGTATCTCTTGGCAAATTATATATCCATATGTGGATCAGTTTCCTGAAAATATCCTCAAAATCCTTTCTCTGTAAATATACAGGATAAATCTCATATTTAATAGTAGATGATTTGCTCGGATCAACAAGAATGGAAGCTGAAGATGTCAGAACAGTCACTTCATGACCTCTCTGGATAAGTTCATCCAGGATTGTCTTTATATTGATCCAGTGGCTATATTCTGTGGGCCACACTAGCACATTTCCACAACTTCCAGAGCTGAAGTAACAGCTCAGCTGAAGCAGCAGAAGAACTGAAATCCATTTCATAGACATCCTAGTGGAATGCAATGCTTCTTTTCAGACTCCTGTTTCCTTCTCCCATTGCTTGTACTTATATCCAAGGAGAAATCAATCAGTAAGTTAAAGTATAACTCCTACATTTCAAAGTAAACACATTATATCAACAGTCAGAGCATCTGAATGGCAAGTGGAAAAAGCCAAAGGTAGATGATTTCATTTGTATACAGATGTGTTTAATATTTGTTTGACACTTGTAAGTTCTATCATCTAGCGAATGATGAATATACAAGTGAATTTATTTCTTGGATATGATGGTTCAAGAAATTTTTTTTTGCTTTGTTCATAAAAATTTGGTTGACATGTAATTCATATGCTATAAAATTGTCAGATTTAAAGTGTACAATTCAGTGGTTCTTAGTATATTCCCAGAATTGTGCAACTACCATGACGATCAATTTTAGAGCACTTTTATTACCCCAAATGGAAACCTTTTACCCTCTAATGAAACTGCGTTTTCTGCATCTCCCAGCCCTAGTCAACATTTTATCTACTTTTTGTCATATATATTGTCTGTTCTCTTTGTGACTGGCTCCCTTAATTAGCATGATGTTTTATGTTAAAAATTTGTTTTCTGACTTTATTGAGATATCATTGATACAACAGTGTGCAGGTTTAAGGTGTACAGCATGATGACTTGATTCACTTATGTACTGTGAAATGGTTACACCACAAGATTTGTTACCACGTCCATCACCTCACATAATTTTTTTTTTTGTGGTGAGGACTTTTTAAAAATCTTTTTTTATTACTTTTTTTATTAAAGCATAGTTCACACAAACATTTCATTAGTTTCAGGTTACAACATAGTGACTCAGCAAGTCTATCTGCTATGTTATGCTCACGACAAATGTAGATTCCATTTGTCACTACACAACATTATTACAATAACTTTGACTATATTCCCTATGCTGTACCTTTTATCCTCCTGACATTCATTCCATAACTGGAAGCCTGTATCTCCCACTCCCCTTCACCCATTTTGCTTTCCCTCTCTCCCTCTTTTTTTTTTTTTTTTTAGCAACCATCAATTCTCTGTATTTATGAGTCTTTCTGCTTTTGTTTATTTTTGTTTTTTAGATTCCACATATAAGTGAAATCATATGGTATTTGTCTTTCTCCCTCTGACTTACTTCATTTAGCATAATACTCTCTCAGTCTGTCCATGTTATCACAAATGGCAAGTTAACATTTTTTTATGGTGGATTAATATAGCATTATCTACACATACTACATCTTCTTTATCCATTCATTTATTGATGGACATTTGGGTTGCTTCCATATGCTGGCTATTGCAAATAATGCTGCAGTAAACATAGGGTGTATATATCTTTTTGAATTAGTGTTTTTGTTTTCTTTTTTTTTTTATTCTTATGTTAATCCCCATACATTACATCATTAGTTTTAGATGAAGTGTTCCATGATTTATTGTTTGTGCATAACACCCAGTGCTCCATGCAGAATGTGCCCTCCTCAATACCCACCACCAGGCTAACCCATCCACCCACCCCCCTCCCCTCTAGAACCCTGTTTGTTTTTCAGAGTCCATCGTCTCTCATGGTTCGTCTACCCCTCCGATTTCCCCCGCTTCATTCTTCCCCTCCAGCTACCTTCTTCTTCTTTTTTTTTTTCTTAACATATATTGATTTATTTGTTTCAGAGGTACAGGTCTGAGATTCAACAGTCTTGCACAATTCACAGCGCTTACCAGAGCACATACCCTCCCCAGTGTCTATCACCCAGTCACCCCATCCCTCCCACCCCACTCCAACAACACTCAGTTTGTTTCCTGCGATTAAGAATTCCTCATATCAGTGAGATCATATGATACATGTCTCTCTCTGTTTGACTTATTTCACTCAACATAATACCCTCCAGTTCCATCCACGTCGTTGCAAATGGCAAGATCTCATTCCTTTTGATGGCTGCATAATATTCCATTGTATATATATACCACCTCTTCTTTATCCATTCATCTGTCGATGGACATCTTGGCTCTTTCCACAGTTTGGCTATTGTGGACATTGCTGCTATAAACATCGGGGTACACGTACCCCTTCGGATCCCTACTTTTGTATCTTTGGGGTAAATACCCAGTAGTGCAATTGCTGGATCATATGGTAGCTCTATTTTCAACTTTTTGAGGAACCTCCATACAGTTTTCCAGAGTGGCTGCACCAGCTTGCATTCCCACCAACAGTGTAGGAGGGTTCCCCTTTCTCCGCATCCCCGCCAACATCTGTCGTTTCCTGACCTGTTAATTTTAGCCGTTCTGACTGGTGTAAGGTGGTATCTCATTGAGGTTTTGATTTGGATTTCCCTGATGCCGAGCGATATTGAGCACTTTTTCATGTGTCTGTTGGCCATTTGGATGTCTTCTTTGGGAAAATGTCTGTTCATGTCTTCTGCCCATTTCTTGATTGGATTCTTTGTTCTTTGGGTGTTGAGTTTGATGAGTTCTTTACAGATTTTGGATACTAGCCTTTTATCTGATAGGTCATTTGCAAATATCTTCTCCCATTCTGTCGGTTGTCTTTTGGTTTTGTTGACTGTTTCCTTTGCTTTGCAAAAGCTTTTTATCTTGATGAAGTCCCAATAGTTCATTTTTGCCCTTGCTTCCCTTGCCTTTGGCGATGTTTCTAGGAAGAAGTTGCTTCGGCTGAGGTCAAAGAAGTTGCTGCCTGTGTTCTCCTTTAGGATTTTGATGGACTCCTGCCTCACATTGAGGTCTTTCAACCATTTTGAGTCTATTTTTGTGTGTGGTGTAAGGAAATGGTCAAGTTTCATTCTTCTGCATGTGGCTATCCAATTTTCCCAACACCATTTGTTGAAGAGACTGTCTTTGTTCCATTGGACATTCTTTCCTGCTTTGTCGAAGATTAGTTGACCATAGAATTGAGGGTCCATTTCTGGGCTCTCTATTCTGTTCCATTGATCTATGTGTCTGTTTTTGTGCCAGTACCATGCTGTCTTGATGATGACAGCTTTGTAATAGAGCTTGAAGTCCGGAATTGTGATGCCGCCGGCTTTGCTTTTCTTTTTCAACATTCCTCTGGCTATGCGGGGTCTTTTCTGATTCCATACAAATTTTAGGATTATTTGTTCCATTTCTTTGAAAAAAGTGGATGATATTTTGATGGGGATTGCATTGAATGTGTAGACTGCTCTAGGTAGCATTGACATCTTCACAATATTTGTTCTTCCAATCCATGAGCATGGAACGTTTTTCCATTTCTTTGTGTCTTCCTCAATTTCTTTCATGAGTATTTTATAGTTTTCTGAGTACAGATCCTTTGTCTCTTTGGTTAGATTTATTCCTAGGTATCTTATGGTTTTGGGCGCAATTGTAAATGGGATCGACTCCTTAATTTCTCTTTCTTCTGTCTTGTTGTTGGTGTATAGGAATGCCATTGACTTCTGTGCATTGATTTTACATCCTGCCACTTGATTGAATTCCTGTATGAGTTCTAGCAGTTTTGGGGTGGAGTCTTTTGGGTTTTCCACATAAAGTATCATATCATCTGCAAAGAGTGAGAGTTTGACTTCTTCTTTGCCAATTTGGATGCTTTGATTTCTTTTTGTTGTCTGATTGCTGTGGCTAGGACTTCCAATACTATGTTGAATAGCAGTGGTGATAGTGGACATCCCTGCCGCGTTCCTGACCTTAGGGGGAAAGCTCTCAGTTTTTCCCCATTGAGAATAATATTCGCTGTAGGTTTTTCATAGATGGCTTTTATGATATTGAGGTATGGACCCTCTATGCCTATACTCTGAAGAGTTTTGATCAAGAAAGGATGCTGTACTTTGTCAAAAGCTTTTTCTGCATCTATTGAGAGGATCATATGATTCTTGTTCTTTCTTTTGTTAATGTATTGTATCACATTGATTGATTTGCGGATGTTGAACCAACCTTGCAGCCCAGGGATAAATCCCACTTGGTCATGGTGAACAATCCTTTTAATGTACTGTTGGATCCTATTGGCTAGTATTTTGGTGAGAATTTTTGCATCCATGTTCATCAGGGATATTGGTCTGTAATTCTCCTTTTTGATGGGGTCTTTGTCTGGTTTTGGGATCAAGGTAATGATGGTCTCATAAAATGAGTTTGGAAGTTTTCCTTCCGTTTCTATTTTTTGGAACAGTTTCAGAAGAATAGGTATTAATTCTTCTTGAAATGTTTGGTAGAATTCCCCTGGGAAGCCATCTGGCCCTGGGCTTTTGTTTTTTGGGAGATTTTGGATGACTGCTTCAATTTCCTTAGTGGTTATAGGTCTGTTCAGGTTTTCTATTTCATCCTGGTTCAGTTTTGGTAGTTGATACATCTCTAGGAATGCATCCGTCTCTTCCAGGTTATCTAATTTGCTGGCATAGAGTTGCTCATAATATGTTCTTATAATTGTTTGTATTTCTTTGGTGTTGGTGGTGATCTCTCCTCTTTCATTCATGATTTTGTTGATTTGGGTCATTTCTCTTCTCTTTTTGATAAGTCTGGCCAGGGGTTTATCAATCTTGTTAATTTTTTCAAAGAACCAGCCCCTAGTTTCGTTGATCTGTTCTACTGTTCTTTTGGTTTCTATTTCATTGATTTCTGCTCTGATCTTTATTATTTCTCTTCTCCTGCTGGGCTTAGGCTTTATTTGCTGTTCTTTCTCCAGCTCCTTTAGGTGTAGAGTTAGGTTGTGTACTTGAGACCTTTTTGTTTCTTGAGAAAGGCTTGTATTGCTATATACTTTCCTCTTAGGACTGCCTTTGCTGCATCCCAAAGATTTTGAACAGTTGTGTTTTCATTTTCATTGGTTTCCATGTATTTTTTTTAATTCTTCTTTAATTTCCTGGTTGACCCATTCATTCTTCAGTAGGATGCTCTTTAGCCTCCATGTATTTGAGTTCTTCTGACTTTCCTCTTGTGATTGAGTTCTAGTTTCAAAGCATTGTGGTCTGAAAATAGGCAGGGAATAATCCCAATCTTTTGGTACTGGTTGAGACCTGATTTATG